ATGATTTGTGAATTGAAATTGAAAGACTTTGGAAGAGAATTCCAAAAGTCACTGGAGCTCTTCAGCAAATATTTGGAAGTTTTAAAGCCACCAGATTTGACAGCACTGTCTTTGCAAAAACACATCTTGCTTGAACTTCAAAGACACCTCCATGATTCCTAAGCTCTTGTTAGAACCTGAACCACCAAAAATTACCCAGTCTAAAGCATGTGATATTTGGTGGATGAACAGATCATCATCATCATCATCATCATCATCACCACCACCATCATCTATTGGCATTTGTGGAAAAATTATAACATTCAAGTTTCCCAAATATGGTATAATCACAAACCTGATAAAGTTGCTGCAAGTTATGATGATAAAGTGTTACACAATTTTCACATACAAACTGATCACCATCTAGAACACACTAGATATAATAAGATATTATATCTTATTTAATCTTGCCAGGTCATCCTATGATTATTGGCACATTAGGTGGAATAACAAATTATTTAAGACATTTTTACAAGTATTAAATATTTCAGCTCCATTAACTGCAGATTTACAAACTTCCTTTATGGGCACATGCTAAATCTCAAGACATTACTTGGATATTTCCTAGGTTCCTGGCTGGAACTCGAATTCCCAAAGAACACCAGTGAATGATGTGATCCTTTTGTTTGTTCTTTGTACTGGCTTATTCTTTTATGAATAAATGCATGATAATTATGACAGTGGTGACAAGGATGATGATGCGAATTGGGCTTACGCAGCTAGAGTTCTTACCAATTCTTTCATCTGGCTTCTTGGTGGAAAAATTGCTTGAATGGGATCTACTTCATAGGCATTTAAGCACTCAGTTTCAATTCAGATTTTATAGCAGAGCAAAACACGTGGACAGAACTCATGTCCTTCACACGTATATAACCAGCATCCTTGGTGCAGCATTGTGGCTTTCTGTGGCTCTCAGAGATAACCTGTTTTGAAAGAGTTTTGGAGACTTGTAAAGATATAAGGTACCCACTTTGCCCCTTTAAATTGTCACCTTCCCAAATGGGGACTGGTTTAGATCCAGTCCTCAAAGTGTGGTGCCCAGCCCAGTATGCGGCAAAGCCAGTAGAGATTACACGTCCTTGTTTTTGCACACTGGTCTTATCTCTAACCTGGTTCTACAGAGGAAGTTCTCATTATGGACCACACAACACAGAACAATCTTCCCCTACTGCCAAAGATCCTTCCTAAATAAAATGCAACTGTTGTTTGGCATCTCAGACCATAAATGTCTGATTGGAATGCAAAAGCCTTTGATTGATAGAGGAATCCACTGAGGAAGAAGCAGCTGGGTGAAAAGTGAAACGAGTTCTGTAGCAAAGCACAAAAATAAATCTGATGTCAAACAGTTCCCGGACTTGTAGCCTTGCCTCCCAGGAATGTTTGGCAAGACGCTGCCCAACCATTTCTTTCCATTCCCCCCCACCTCCCAAACACGTTTTCCTCCCCAAGTAATTGGCTGGGTTGGAACACACCTCTTTGGTTCATTATTATCTCACTCAATGTTGTTTTTGCCATTTATATGGGGATCGGACAGAGCCAAAAAAAAAAAGAAGAAGAAGAAGAAGAAGAAAAGAAAAAAGAGTGGGCGGATTATTTATTTAGTTGATAACTGTAAACGTACAAGATTATTGGTGACTGGTTTGCCTGCTCTGCAGAGTGATCGTTTGCTAAATACATGGCAGCATTTAGAACATCTGCAGCCCACTTGATTTGGGATATTTGATTCCCACTAATAACATTTCTGGTTACGTAGATCAGCAGGAGAGCCCTTTTGAAAATGTCCCTGCTGGCCAGAAGCTTGCCTGCTCGGTGCCCAAGACAACCCCTTCCCTGTGTGGTGCCCAGTCCATGCAATTGTCTCCCAAGAAGGTGTTTTTAGCTTCCACTCACCCAGGATTTGAGAAAATTGCAAAAATGCACCCCTATTGCCAATCTTTTTAATCACTAAACTATTTTCAATTGTCTTTATTTTAATGGTGTTGATTACATTGCTGTGTTTTATATATCCTGGACTTTACCGTTGTTAAGTTGACTTGATTGCATATATAGGAAGAAAGCTGAGACATAATAATAAACAAATAACATTTGGCATTTCCTTGGGCCAAATAGGAGGAGACCCCACAAATTCTTGTGGTTTGAAAATATTTTTCAAAAGACTCTTTTAATGTAGAAACAAAAAGAAGAAAAGCATTAACCAGGTGCAAAGCTTTTTTTAAAAAAGAAAAAGTCAGAAACAAAAGTAAACCAAAACATAAAAAAGGAAAGGAAAGGAAAAAAAATAGAATAAATGAATATAACAAAAATTTCAGTTCTTACACAACCAATTAAACCCTAACTGCAAGTCAATAATAGAACATGATACAAGTCTTCCATCCAGTGTAGGTCAGGTACATTGGAATCTTTTTATCAAAGCACAGCAGTGCAGTATTTTTAACAGTAGCTCATGCATGGTGAATCCAATTTAACATCACATTCCCAAGTTAACCCTTATTTCTTATCCCAACACTCTATTAATAGCTGTATGAATATTAAACCAAAGTAATGCCATTGTAGAACATGTCCCCAACAGGTGAGTCCATATCTTCTTTAAAATATTATGCTTCCAACATACAGAGATTGAAACCCAATCTTTAATCTTGGGTGTCCAATAAGCACACAGAAAAGATGTTTAAAAAATTATTATTACTTGTATCTTGAGACACAATTATCTTAACAGGATACTAATGTAACACTGTTGAAACTCTAGTGAATTGACTCGTTAAAACAGGATATTCCAACTCTTTGTTCCAAATTACTTGCAGCTTTTCCATATTTACCTTAGTATTACTTTTTAGTTGTACATAAAAGTTAATTGTAGATTTGGGAACCTTCAAAACTGTTTCCAAGAATTTGGGGAATGCTGCTAATGCAAGAGGCCCTACTTGTAGAGGCATAAAATGTTCAATTTGGATAAATCGCCATTCAGATGTCTGAGTCCAAATTTTTTTTGGAGAACATAAGATGTGTTAAAAAGCCTGATGGGCAAGAAGCTACTCCCAGGTGTTAATACTGGGTTGTGCGTGGAGGGTGGAGGTAGTCCAGTAATCTTCAATCTGTGATTATCCTGCAATGCCAAAATATTAGGCCCTGGTGATGATCATATAACAACTTTTTTTTAAAAAAAAAGTCTTATGTAATTGCATGCCACAGGTAACTGTAATTAGTGTCAAAGATCTGGGGAATGAAAGGCAGCCCCCAAGAATAATGTCAATGCTCACTAACTGATAACTAATAACAACTAATGCTTCAATACAAGTTCAGGATGATTTCATACTACTACTAAATTCTTTCTCATTTGTGCAAGGAGTTCGATTTGAAATCTATCCCAGCTTTTTGCATGTATTTGAGGGTTCACCCAAAATCCACACCTGTGCATTGGAATGCATGCCCAAACAGTCCAAGAGAGTCCTGCAAACAGCTGTGTGGTCCTTGCCCACCCTTCAAAGATAGGCACTTCACTCATGCTGATGTACATTGCATAGAACTTCTCTGAAATGCTTTGCAGAATTTTAATTTGTGTAGCTCTAACCACAGAGGGCTGGCAACTAATGATATCTTTATGTTTATTTGTTTACCCCAGGAACTGAGAATGTGTTAGAGACCATTTCTGGAAAAGACTTGAAGGGTCTTGAAAACAGTCTCTGAAATAGGGCTAGAGTTGGAAAAGCACCAGAACCTGGTGGTGATCCAGAACACTCTTCCGTAGGATGCCTCCTTCCCCTATTTGATTCTTCTGCTCCTACAATACTGGAATCATGTGAAAAAAAAATCTGTAAGTGAAAATCCATCCTCAGGCCAGTACTGACAGATATAGTGGAATGCTTTCAACATGGATTAAATACACGCTTAATGGACATAATTTTTTTTCAGGTTTTTCCAGCTTTGCTTCTCTTTAGCAACAGAGGGACATTCCAGAGCCTCCTTGCTTCCTCTGACGCTAAGCAAGGGTGCTAGGTGTGAATTAATTCTAGCACTTCCCCCTTTTCTTAATGATAGATATCTGGGAAATGTTACAAGGGTCTTGACTGGTCAGAGAAAATGTCACAAGATAGGGGTGAGTTTCTGTGGAATGCTGTCAAACTGAATCCTACAGGCAGGGTCTTGCAATTTTTTCCTGGACCTTGGGTCACTCTGGTGTAGAAGCAATGACCAGCGCATAAATTAAATGAGATATCACTATATTAATCTTTACTAAATACAAATAGGTGCCTTAGCCTTTAGAAATTTTAGAGTTCCCATTCTCCCTCTCCATCACCGTTCCTTAGGCGAGCTTTTAATGATGCCGGAATAAAAATGGTATAAATCGCTAATAAAACCATTCGGCTGTTCTAAATTCTCTTTGCCCTTCATTTCCCGATCCCCCAAGGTTTATGGATGCATTCGTTGGTATCCTGGGCTGTCCTCCATTCGTGTTCGCGAAACGTGAGTTTTCCATTCGTGAGACGGGTGTTGTAAGGAAAACGAATCCAGAGGAGATCCCCACTGCTCTCCTCTGTGGGCTCTGCCCCACGCATCAGACTCCTGATGCTCACATGCCAGGAGAAGCTCCGGCGCTTGGAGAGAAAACAAGGCTGCCTAACTTTAGGGTCATCGTGTCTGCGTCGCAAAAGTCCGGACAACCCAGCACAGAACTGCCTTGAACCCTGAACTCTTCGCTGCCTCCACGCGGCGGTCCATAAACTTGTGGCTGAGCCCAGCTCCCCACGTTGCATCAGCCGGGCGGGCTGGCCGTCTCCCGCGCGAAAAGACGCCAGCCAGCTCGCTCGGCCAGCCCGCTTCCTTAAACAATCACAGCGCAAACTT